AGTGTAGTGTAATAAAAATGGCATGCATCTGAGTGCAAGGAATATGAATTCGCCCTGGTTTTCTGTTTCTTTTATAATCTAGTTAGCACAGCCATCTACTTAATCGCCAAGGCTTTGTGGCATAACTCGTTGCTCACAGTCTATGAACTTGGACGGCATGGGACTCTAATGTAGGCAATTGTAACAAGATAGCAAGCATTTCTATATTTAAATATATCTACATATACAAAAGTTACACTTAAAACCAATGGGAATTTTTCAACTTTATTACTCTCTTATGGGACCACAGCCCTCTATGTATACAGCCCATTATTGATTGAAATGTGTGTGCATCGTGTCTGTACTATAGTATTTTTTTTGTCTGATTATGGAGCATTTTTTAAATTTTGAGACAAGGTCTCACCATGTGACTTGGCCTTGAACTCAGGATCTTCCTGCTTCTACTGGCTGAGTGCTGGTAATACAGTGGTCTGCCATCACTGGAACTCAAACTGCTTTCCGTTATTCAAAAGCAATAATGTTAAATATGGGGATGTTCTTAACATGTTGAATATGGTGCAAACAGACCAAATAATAAATTTTACATGATTTTTGGCCACAACAAAAAACCCTCAGAATCATATTGGTATATATGTGATATATATCTTTTATGTAATATACTTAATGTTTCTTTAAATATACATTATTTTTCTCAATCACACTGCAATAATGATTTGTAAAAAAAGGGCATTTTGTTTTTTTAATGAATTAAATAATTTTCAGCAAGCACAAATAATACTAATAACTATGTATTCTATTCTAAAAACTGAAAACACATCAGACATTTCTGGAAAGATACATTAATGTAAACTTTTTTAATGGGCTAATAGAATATAATATCTGCTATGTTCCAGACTAAATCTATTGATTAAAGTAACTCGGATAGAAAAAAAGACATTGTGATCTTAGTACAGTCTCTGAAAGGCTACTATCTAGAATTTAATTTTCATTGAGATTCCAAAGGTAAGCATAAAGATGGACACATTGAAGCCTGGTTGTAAGAAAGAATCTATGAAGGAGTCTAATATAGGTGACCCAGAGACAGTAGGTTCCCCTTTCTGAAAACTTTAACCCTGTCATAATTAGAATATGGTATAATTGAAACATAGATGTGTGAATGGGATAGGGATCTTAAAACTTGCTTGAGGGATGGTTAGGGGGAAACAAAGGAGGCGGCAACAATGCTTGATAAGAAATGTACTCATTACCTTGCTCATGTAATTATAACCCCTCTGTATTTTCATAATTAAAAACTTATTAATAAAAAAACTTGCTTGAAAACTGACTTTTTCAGCCTTTATCTGACACAAGAAGGGTGATATTCATCCTCTTGAAAAGTGTATGCTTTCATCTATAATTGTACATAGTATTTTGTTCCATTTGCATAAATTGTAAAGTAAGAGCTAGTATGATAATAGTGCTTGAGCTGCTTTAAATATTTCCCTTAGTGATTTTAAGCCCTCTGAATGAAACACGAGAATATTGCACCTCCCATTTCATATTTCAGGCAAAATCTCTCTGAGTGCTTGCTTATAATCAGACTTTAGATTTTATTATTATTTATCTATTTTATTATTTATTTTATTTATTATTTATTTTATTTATAATTATTATTTGTTATTAGATTTTATTATTTTCTTTTGTCTCTATTCAAGAGAAGGTACTGAATCAGTATTTACAAGAATGAGCTACCAATGGATGGATGTCTATCACACACAGTTACTCACATGCAGTATGTCATTAATCCACAAACACTGGTCCAAAACAGAAGACAATATTATCTTCCTGATGGCACTCAAGCATATCACAAAAGCTTTGCCAATCATAATGTTAGTAAGGATAGAACTATTTCCTTGTGCTATATTTTGATTCCTTAAGTGAATAAATGCAAGTAACTTTGAATATTGACCATTTGATTTCTTGAGGCATGTAGAAATGTATTATTTGTTCAAGCAATAATTTTTTCTAAATTTTTACTTTATTATTGTTTTGAAGGTGATATAAGCAGGGTTACCTTTACATCTATCAGGTAATAAATACATTTTCTATTGCATAGTATCATCTGTTGCCTCATTCTCACCAATTCCCTCTCAATGGATAATTTTTAAATAAGCTGTAATAGTGGTATTTCCTACAGCTCTAATTCTAGGCTTCTCTGCACACACTGCCCAGGGCAGTGCTGAAGGTCAAATCAAAGACTGGATACCTAAGGATATTGACAATAAAGACAGGTTAGTAATAACAAATATTCATACACTATATATATCATAGGGAAAACAGTATAGTATATCACAATAAGGAAATAGATTGTGTGTGAGAGAGACAGAAAGAGAGAGAGAGAGAGAATAAAAGCATATGAAAGGTCTATGGGGTAAAGCTTTGGGGCATGTAGTGGACAATGTTGGCTTCAAATGAGACACAGAATTTGGTCTGAATGGTGAAGGGCTGGTAGGACTGAAGTCAAAGTAGAGAAGTAGATGAAATCTCAAGTTGCAGAATTGTATGAGCATATAAGAAGGTATGTTCTGAAGACAATGAATAGATCAGTTTAGATTGGACAGAGTATGGGGAATAGAACTGAGGACTACAAGGCAGACCTTAGCCAGTTAGTTGATTATAATTGCCACATTGGGGCCCGGAGGTCTCCAAGGCTATAGTTGTTAAGCAATTCTTTGTTGGATGCTGTCAAGAAAGTATTGGCAATGTCCCCAGGGCAGAATCGATGCATTCAGTCTTAGTGTCAGAAGATGACTTGATAATACACCAGCTCACAGACTGAAGGTCTACAGGTAGTTTGGTAATACACCAACTCCCTTGTAGACTCAGTTGGTTCAAGTAAGCATGGGATAGTAATTGGGAAGATGATCCCATAGGCTATGAACCTCAACAAGCTCCTTGGTGAAGGAAGGAACAACATGGAACTAATATGTAACTAGCATTTTCCCAGGCCTGCACACTGATCCAAGAATTCTATTTCACACACAAACTAGGTGCCATAGACACACCCATCTTGAACATCTCAGAAGCTGACAGTCCAAAATGAGTCTCCCATTACTTTTTGAAGCCGAAAGATTCAAGGATGATAAATGAAATTGTTTTCTTTCCTGGATGTCTGGGTAAGTACTTATAAAGTGAGCTATTCTGCATTTACATTTGAAAATAAGAAATATCCCAATAGGCAATTAGCAATGTGTTTCCCTCTGTTGGTTGCTTTAGGATGTAGAAATGCTAAATTAATACAAAAGCGTATTTTATTATTGATAGGCTTCCTATTTAGTTCCCTTCATCCTATATTTGTCTAGCTTAGGTTTTAAAACTGAATTCAATTTTCCTTCTGAAATATTATCCTGTGGATTATAGTTTGTACTTATCAGTTTCCTGCTCATTGTTTTATCATACTGAAAGCCTTTCGGACTATGATGCTACCATTTTCCATATATCCATACTTCTATTTACCTGCCAATATATAAACATATCTATATGCTTTTATATAGTGATAAACTATGAAACAGAAATTGCTAGAAAAAATTCCTTGTGCCCCTAAGTGAGAAATGGTGTGGATGTATTAATACTTTTCTGTAGTACAGAAAATAAATATTTCTTGGACATTTATGTCCATCAGGTAGAATGGAGTCCCCTTAATTCATCCCACCATGTCTGCTGTGAGCCTTTTATCCTCAGGTATGTCCCTGGATACAATGATAAATAACAAAACAATTGGATGGCATGGGTACAGACAGACGAGGGTGAGAAGTTCATATAACCTATGCATTGTCACTTCAATCTATCATTCAAAGTATTTAAACCCCATAAAAATTTATAAACTAAGTGTTTTTCATTTGTAATTAAGTAAAAAAAAAAAGCAAAAGACTCAGAGAGGTAACTCTCTAGAACAGGTCAGCTGGTAAGTGGCAAAGGTGATATGTCAATACCTGACAATGGACTTTATAAGCTCATGCATTCTACTAAGGTGGTCATCATGACTGGTGTGCTGGCTAGGCTACACCTTTTTGTCTTTAAATATTAATATTTTTCCACCTTTTCCACAGAGACATCGGTGTGGTGGAAAAATACCTTCCTGGAATTACAGATGCAGCACGGCAGCACTGAGGATAATCTTGAAGGACTGCAGAACTCATAAGAGGAGGGATAGGCTAATTTGGCAAAAATATTGAGCTCAAGCAAGCCTGTATTAATTGTTGATTTCTTGCTTTCTGCTGAACTTTCTCGTATCCTCTTCAGATTTGTACTATAAGAAAAGTCAGTGTTAAGGTAAATAACCTTTCTTGCATACCTGATGGGAGAGTCAAGTGTTTCACCCAACAGAATGTATTTAACATCTACTACATGTTGTGGATTAAAGTGATTTAGCACCTTTTATGTGCTTAACTTACTGTGCTCTGTAACTCAGAGGCTCACAGCTTTTAGAGGAACAAAGACATATGAAGGACTTTTCAGTGTGACAAGGGTTAGAGATAAGGAAGTGCTCATGGTAGGAAAGAGAACATTTCCTGCAAAATTTAGGAATGAATTTGTGAAACCTTTTCCCTCTATAGGAATAGATCTATACTCATCACTCCCTTGCAACCATGTTCACCAACCAAAAAGAAGCAGGTGAATATCCATGGATCAAGCGTGTGATTCTCAACAGGCTCAGTCATTCATCCTAATCTACTGAAATAGTCTGACTTGCAGAATAGGAGAAGGAGCAAAAGGGAACAACATAGCTGATGAATGATTCCTTGTATATACTAGATACTTCTCTTAATTTACTTTCATGCTTTAAAAGATCAAGCTAGGTCTTCATGCATTCTAGAGACTCATCATTGAATGGGACCCCAGCCCCACAATTTTTTTTGAAGTTCTATTTACAACATAAGATTCCTGCAAATAATGTTTTAATTCATATACAGCCCAAGAGACACTGAATTGACTCCTGCTAATTGTGAAGGTGAAAGGTTATGGGAAGATTCAACACCAGCTGGGGAGAGGGCTTCGTTCTGGTGGGGTTCTCAGATTGGCTTCAGCTAGAGCTCCTCCTTTTTATCTTTATTTCAATTTCCTACTCCCTGACTCTCTTTGGCAACACCACCATCATTGCCCTCTCCCGGCTGGACCATCGACTGCGCACACCCATGTACTTCTTCCTCTCCCATCTCTCCTTCCTGGATCTCTGCTACACCACCAGCACCGTGCCCCAGCTTCTGGTGAATCTTTCTGGACTTGACCAGACCATCAGCTATGGAGGGTGTGTGGCCCAGCTCTTCGTATCTCTTGCCTTGGGCTCCACAGAGTGTGTGCTCCTGGTGGTGATGGCTTTTGACCGCTACGCTGCTGTGTGCCGTCCACTCCACTACACAGCCATTATGCACACTCTCCTTTGCCACATTTTGGCTACTGCTTCTTGGTTGGGAGGCCTGGTGAACTCTCTGATTCAGACAGGGCTGATGATGGCCATGCCTCTCTGTGGCCATCACCTGAATCACTTCTTCTGTGAGATGCCTGTCCTCCTGAAGCTGGCTTGTGAGGACACAGGAGGAACAGAGGCCAAGATGTTTGTGGCCCGAGTTGTGATTTTGGTCTTTCCTGCAGTACTAATTCTAGGCTCCTATGTACACATCGGCAGGGCCGTGCTAAAGGTCAAGTCAATGGCTGGGCGTAGAAAGGCTTTTGGAACTTGTGGGTCTCACCTTGTGGTGGTTTCTTTGTTTTATGGCTCAGCCATTTACACTTACCTCCAACCGAAGGACAGTTATTCTGAGAATGAAGGCAAGTTTGTTGCCCTTTTTTATACTATCATCACCCCCATGCTCAATCCTCTGATTTATACCCTGAGGAACAAGGATGTGAAGGGGGCTTTGTGGAAGTTACTACAGCGAGGAAGAAAATCAGGATAAGAGAGGAAGACAGTAAGTGTTTGATCATGGCTCTCACACCCTGAAACCCATCCCATTCTTTGAGAGCTAGAAAATAGCCCTCAGTAATCATTTGAGTTTTAATACGCTTTATTTTCTTGGAGGTGGGAGATTGAAAGAGGTCGCCTGAGATGCTTTATTTCCTCAATCTTCTATCTATGATCATTGTACAGGTAGTAGTTGGAGCTGATTTATATCACAGCTTTCCATGTTTTGGGCACATGTGGAAATTAGTGATGGGTTCTAGGCATTTCAGAGAGTAAAGGAAAACTTAGTCAAATGTGACTATACTGTATACAAAGCTAATGAATCCACATGCTCTGTCCCATAGAAGGCACTTCCCTTTAGTGCAGAGGCATGAGTTCACTGCTAGCTTACTAATAATTGTGATTCTCACCATCTCATGCCATATCTCAGGGCCTGTTTCTGAGTTTTCTGAGAATTTATATCCTCTGTCCTTCAGGAGGTAATGTAAATGTTGTAAATGCTGTAGATAGGATGTATATTGATCTATTTGGAAAAAAAGACAAAGTAATCAGTGTACTACTAGGTAAGAGAGGCATCAGTCCCCCTGGCTGCAGCATGGGTATCAGATCTGCTCAGTGTTACAGAGATGGTATTTTCATATAAGAGAAAACAGAACAGAGATCGCATGTGCATAAAAACAAGACACCATGAAGGGGTAGTATTTGAAGAAAGAATAAAAAAGAATAAGATGTGAGAGACAGGAAAAGAGAAAGAGAGAGAGAGAGAGAGAGAGAGAGACCTTGTGGTGGAGAGTTGTGATAAATTCAAGTGGCATTAAATCAACTGTGGCGATAGTTGATTCTTTACATTCAATCTATGTCTTTTTACATTATTTAAATAATCATGGCATATAAAACTAACCATCCTTGTACAATTTTATTTTTGCATGGTTTATGTTAAATGAATCATCTTGTAGTACTGAGTATTATTGATATAATTTTTAGAGACATTTTCTTAGTCATTACAATATAGCTGAGAATTACTTTTGCTGCACTTCTTTTTTTTTTTTGTAGGTTGTGGGGCCTGAATACTTGGCCTGGGTACTGTCCCTGAGCTCCTCAGCTCAAGGTTAGCACTCTACCACTTGAGCCACAGTGCTACTTCCAGCTTTTCTGCTTATGTGGTGCTGAGGAATTGAACCCAGGGACTCATGCATGCAAGGCAAGCACTCTTCCACTGAGCTACCACCCCATCCCTTCTTACTTATTATTGATGGAACAAAGTTTCAGTGTGTTTAAGAAGCCTGTCCATATGTAGATAGTAAATGTATGATAAAGCTGAGATATTTCCATAACCCTAAATGTAACACTACCAGAATCTCTTCTCCCAGTAGTGAATTCTTAATAGAGGATGAGAGTTCAGAAAGAAAATCAGTTGTAAATCAAATCAATTGTGTGCTTAATATATTTTTCAATTTTTCTTTGGTTTATTTTATTCAGTAGTGGATTCTTAATAGAGGAAGAGAGTTCAGAAAGAAAAGCAGTAAATCAAATCAACTGTGTGCCTAATACATTTTTACAATTTTTCTTTGGTTTATGTATCACTATTCTATACTCTTCTGGGGTATAGAAAAGTATAGTGAACACTTTTTAATCAATGGGCATTTCCTTTTTCGGGCAAAGCTAATTCATGTGATAATAATAGTTTCTATTTCTTGAATATTTACTATAGCTCCAAAATCATGCGTAGGAATAGGATACTATCAAACCTATATGGATACTGTCCATATGTCCCCATTAGATAATTTTGTGTATGGCTTATTTCAATTTGCATAAAATGGAAGTGCAGGATTTGGATCTGGCCTGTCACATTCTAACCCCTGGTACTCTAAATAGCACCTGAAAATATGTATTTTTATATTTCTTTTAACTTTAGGAAATACCCAGAGTCTGCCCTGAACAAATGTTTTTCCCTTCTATTATTTATTTATGCATTTATTTATGTCATTGTAGGGCTTGAACTCAGGGCCTGGCCTCTCTGTGCTCAAGGCTAGCCCTCTACCACTTGAGCCACAGTGCCACTTCTGATTTTTGAGTGGTTAACTAGAGAGGTAAGAGTCTCACCGGGATTTTTCTGCCTGGGCTGGCTTCAAATTGCGATCCTCAGATCTCAGCCTCCTGAGTTGCTAGGATTACAGGTTTGAGCCACCGGTGCCAGGCTTCTCTTATATCTTTTTTTATCATATCCTTTAATCAGACAAATAGGTCATTGGTACAATTGGAAACACAGCAATTGCTTTTGAAATTTACGTCTTGTGGGAAGAAGATGCTGTATGTGTGTGTATGTATGTGTGTGTATATGTGTTGTGTGTATGTGTGTGTGAATACACACCCCTGGAGTCTCCCATTCACACCAGTAGCTAATTAATCAGCATTGATCATTGATCTCCTCAGCCATTCCAGAGCCAACCAAACCTTCCAGTTTCCTTTAGTTGCCATCTGAGAGGGAAGGCCTGAGGTGCCTTTTTTTTTGTGGAGAAGATCAAGAGTTATGTGGCACATATCCCTTTTTATCTTCTAGAGCCAAATAAATGAAGTAAAGGAACACTTTCTGCTATTGTTGGATAAAATGCAGAGGCCATTTGATCTGATGTGCAGTGTAAATATTTCCTTACGGACACTGTGCAGGTGATCTATCCTTTGCTGCAATCAGGGGGTGAGGGAGGGATATTGAAGTCACCTACTATTGCTTTATTATAATCTCTTTCCTTTCAGATCCGTTAATATTTGGTGCTGATATAAGAGATATACTGCAAGGAAAAATAGGACTCTGTTCATCCCTCCCCCAAAGAATCTTTATGGCTTGCCGTATGTATAAAAAGCAGGCTAAAGGACCCATTTGAAATAACATTTCCTCAAAAAATTTCAATTTTAAATAATCTATATTCCAATTGGGAATTTTTTTCTGGTCCTGCAGCTTGAACTCTGTGCCTCAATACTGTCCCTGAGCTTCTTTTGATCAAGGCAAGCACTCTACCACTTGAGCCACAGTCTGGCTTTTTTGAGTAGTTTATTGGAGATAAGAGTCTCACAGACTTTCCTGCCTGGGTTGGCTTTGAACCACAATCCTCAAATCTCAGCCTCCTCAGTAGCTAGGATTACAGGCATGAGCCACAGGTGCCTGGCTACCAATTAGGAACATTTTGAGATAGCATATCCTCAACCCAATGTTACGTTATATTCAATGTTTATGTCATTTGGTGTGATATTTCAATCAATGGTACATAACATGCAATGTACTAATCTACATAACTGGTCCATCCATCACCTCAAAAATCTATCATTTCTTTATGTTGTGAACACTCAAAATTCTCTTTACTAGCGATTTGGAAGTATTCACTTGAATGTTTTCAACCATCTAAACTAATTGTGCTATAAAAAAAAATCAAAACTCATTCCTCTTCTCTTTTTGCTCCCCTGTATCATTAACCATCTACTCTATTCCCTCCCATATATTTATTTTCCTTGTTAAAAGTCAAATGGTAATGGAATAGATTGGTATTAATTTCCCACATACAATAATACATAATATATTTTATAATTAAGTAAAAAATGACTTTAATGATTTTAGAGATGAAGTATCTGCAGTGTACACAACCAAAAGCCTACAAATCTTTTAGAACAATACCAATAAAATGAAAACAAATACACAAGTAGATAATTCAGGAAGAAAATGAATGTGTTTAGTGACTAAACCTTTTGCTGTGCAGAAACTTTTTAGCTTGATACAATCCAATTTGTCAATTCTTTCCCCTATTTTCTGGGTCTCTGGAGTTCTTTTCAGAATGCTCCTGCCTATTCCAGTAGGTTCTAATGTTTTCCCTATTCTTCCCCATAGTAGTTTTAAGGTTTCAGGTCTTATATCCATTTTGAATTGATATTAGAACAAGATGAGAGACAGGTTCAGTCTTTTGAATATGGATTAAAAAAATGAAGATGGTAAGTTTTTTTGCTCTGTGGGATCTTTTTTCATAGCATAACTAAACAAACTCAGAGAATCACACACTACATGTTTACATTGTATCTATATATGTTACATTGCCATAAGGTTGATTTTTAAAATACAGACTGTGGCCTCAATATGATATGTGGAAGATGAAATTTAAAGTTTCTTGTGATTCCAAAGACAAGAAAAAAATATAGATACACAAAAGCTTACACAAATCTTAATTGGTATGGTTAGAAGGATGAGTTCATAAAGGTGTGGACAAGTTTAAAATTGTAAGTAACTGTGGGGGGTAGTGAGGGCACTTTACAAAGACTTCAAAGAAGCAGCATGGCCATGATTAGAAGCTGGTACAGAGAAGACCTATGAACCCAGGTAAGGCCTTCAAAAAGCTGCTTCCTCAGTTTCCAGGCTTTCCCTCCAATGTGCCTCTTAGTGTTGCACATTCCAATGCCCAGTATATAGGGAGATAAAGTGCAAAAGGAGGAGAGGGATGGTTGGGTGAAACTGTAAACTCCGTTAAATGTGATACAGCACAGAAGGAAGATATTTAGGGTGTAATGAATATGTAGGCTTCGAGTAAGACATGTAATTTTGTCTGACTGATGAAGGGCTCGGATGATGGGGTGAAATAGGGAAGTAGGAGAAACCCCAAGCTGTAGAGGTGTATTGCCAAGTAAGGAGGTCTGTTCTGAGGACACTGAAGAGATCACTAATGTTTGGGAAGAGCATGGGGAATAGAGAGAGTAGAGGATTTCAAGTAGATGTTGGAGAGCCCAGAAGTTTATTATAATTGCCATATTAGTACTGGGAAGTCTCCAAGGTCATACTTGGTAAACAATTCTCCTTCTACTGCTTAAGGGAAGCCTTTCCAAAGCTCCCAGGGTAGAAATGGTGTACATAATATTAGGGTCAGGAAATAGTTTGATAATTGCAACTCAGCCTGATACATCAGCTTCTTTCTGATTTCAGATGGTTAGGGATACAGGGGTTCTATGAAGATGCTCCTC